TCTGAATGAGAGAAAAGGTATCTAATATCCAAAGAAAAACTTTCAAACACGTTCACGAATCCTGGAGAAATGCTGTTACTAAGACTAATTGGAACAAGATAGAAAGAAATGAGGGATGGCTCGAGACTCTTGCACAGTATCTTGATTGTTGATTAATCTGTCATTTTGCCTCAAGTGAAAGAAAATAGTTATAGTGAACTGTAATTTGCCAGAACTCAAATGTTCAATTATATGTTGAAATATAACATATAATTGTTAATTTTATTTTCTTTATCCATCCTTACTTTTTTTGTCTTAAATTCATGTTATAGTTGATTTTTTTTAATAACCATTTATGTTTTCTGACATATGAGTGTGTCATTGACTTATTAAAATAGCTATGAATTTAAAAAAGAAATCTTTATAGTAGAAAAGATGGAACCAGTTGTTATTTGATATATTGGCTTCAAAAATTAACTTAATTAATCATTTTAATCATTCAGGCAATTTTTGTATGAAATCAGCCTAATTTTTGTGAGATGATTAATCCATTTATGAACAAACCTGTAATGATCAGACACTCATTGTCTTCAAGTTTCTCTGTGAAGAGGCGAGCTACAATCAGTTCTGGATTTATAACGAACAGGATCTCCTCCTGCAACAGACCAGAGCCCAGCACACCTCCACCTATCAAGCTGTTAGCGAAGTCTACCTGCACATAGACATACATAGACACACAAATAACCAAATCCCAAACAAAAAACATGAAACTGTAAATCATTATTCATGTGGGACAGTTCTTACCTGAAGCATGCCTTTACCTTCAAGCTCAATCTGACCTTCTGAGGTGATATGAAGTTTAGACAGATTCGCCTTACAGCTATCACATGAACAACAACATGATTTAGAGAAAATCAAGGTAGTAAATCAAGGTGGTAACACAGCTGCTGCTTTACCACAGCAGATCTATCAATCTATCAGTTATTACCTTTCCCATGTGGGCATGTCCGTGTAGCTGAGGCACTCCCTCTCAAATGTCACCAGTCCTTTAGGTCGGGTACCTGCAATGACATTGCTAAACACCAATGGACTCTTACTGAGATGTCTCACAAACGGGCAGAATGGGAGGATTCAACTTACTTTCATCTGTAACTTCTTTAAAATAATACATGATGGCCCTCAACTTTTCTCCCTTCCTCCGTGACCAGTTTCCAAATAGACTGTGTGGAGAATGATTATTAACAATTAACATACATTAGGCACACAAAATGAGAGACTACAGTGAAGGGATTTTTTTTTCAACCTGTTGAAGTTGATGCTGGGGTAACCAGAGTACTCTGCGTTGGGACTGGAGGTGTTACGGTGAGGGAAGGTGCAAAAAAAAGCATTGGCAAGTAGGCAGGATATCTGAACCTGAGACATTGTGATGGCTGCACTCTGTCCCTTTCGTAGAAGCGGGATAGCCTGAGAACATGGAAACACATTTTGTCAGTCAGATTATTTATTTTCAGGAGAACTTAATTTTAGTTTTCTCATCGAAAACTATTCGTTTTAGAATACAAATGTCCCTAATAATTAATAATTGTTTCAAGTTAATTGGCATTAATTTGTCCAAAGGTGTCATGGTACTGAGTTAATTATATGAAGTGCTCTGCAGACCCACATACCGTATACATAACAGCTTAGTGTAACATTATAACGTTAACAACTAGCACCAACCAGAAATGCTGTCTACTTTTGTTCATATTTATGTTCATTTTGATCATCATGCATACAACAAAAAGGCGTTAAAAGTAAACTTTTTTAAACCTTTTCACAGTAAGCTTTGCTGTTCTTCCCTGTTGTTTTAGACAATCAGCAGTCTACCTACTTACAGTATAGGATGAAAAGGTTCCTATTTTTACTGGAACCTTTTTGCCTTGAGGTGGCTGCTATTGTGATTTGGCACTATGTAAATAAAACTGAATTGAACTGTTATTTTGCAGAACTGCGCACAAATGTGTCTGTACTCTCTGTGTTGTCTCACAGTCCCTATATTAAGAGACTTTATACCCAGAGACTTCGCAAACCAGTGGACTACAGCCTACTTTTATATCTATTTTTGGAGTTGAAAAAATAAGTACCTTTCAGATACTGAAAACATAAATATGTCGGCTTTAGGTCTAAATAAGCATCCTGATCACAATCTAATTAAAGTCACCAAGGCATTCTTAATAGGTTATGTATCAGTGCCGCACGATTAGATATATTTTAATATCAGTCGCAATTTTGGCTTCCTACAACAGATGAATATGATTGAATGATACTGTAAATTTCTGAGGGGCCAGTGGAATACAAACCAAAAGCAAATCAAACACTGACCACACGCCTGCATGTTCTAATCACACACATGACAATCACAGTTGACTTTAGTTTGCTTCTCGGAGATTTACTTTAAATGAGCACCTTACTGATCTTCAAATGAATGAACTTAAATGTAAAGGCGAAAGTAATGTCCTAATGACTTTGTGTTAAGATTTTGCACATTTTAAAATTTTATGTATTCTATGAATTTTTCTCCAAAAGAGGGACTGAATTCAGGTGAACAAGGAGGAGCATTTTTATTTTAATCCAATAATTTGTACATTTGCAGGAATGCAGCAAAGCATTAATGTTGTATTGTTTAAATGACAGCACACCAAAAAGATTTTTGTCAATAAAATCAATGAATAATGATGATAACTTGAAGACTAGATGTAAGTGCA